CCTTTCCAGGAGGCCCCACGAGGGCCCAGGTCACCTAGGAAAGTATCTAACATGGTTGCCCCGAGCTGGAACCACGTATTTTTCCCCACATGCTTGGTGGGGTTCTGGTTTTCTTCCCTCCCGCGTCGCACCCGCGTCTTCCTCCCTCCTCCCCTCCTCCCCCTTCTCCTCTTTCCTCCCTCACCCACAGCACAGCACAACACAGCACGGCATAGCGCACACATACACATACACACATACACACCAACACGCCAGCACACACACAGCACACAGCACAGCGTTCGGTCTCGCAAAGCGTAGCAGGCGTGGCACTGCCTCGACGCCACAGGGGGTGCGCTGGGGGTGGGGGCCCACCGCGGTCTCTATACGCGCCAATGTCGCAGGGCCTAGCAGGCGTGGCATTTCCTCGACGCCACAGGGGGTGCGCTGGGGGTGGGGGCCCACCGCGGTCTCTATACGCGCCAATGTCGCAGGGCCTAGCAGGAGTGGCATTTCCTCGACGCCAAAGGGGGTGCGCTGGGGGTGGGGGCCCACCGCGGTCTCTATACGCGCCAATGTCGCAGGGCCTAGCAGGCGTGGCATTTCCTCGACGCCACACGGGGTGCGCTGGGTGTGGGGGCCCACCGCGGTCTCTATACGCGCCAATGTCGCAGGGCCTAGCAGGCGTGGCACTTTCTCGACACCGGAGGGGTGCGCTGCAAGCTCCCAGGGCGTGGCAGGCGTGGCATTTCCTCGACGCCACAGGGGGTGCGCTGGGGGTGGGGGCCCTGTGCGCTGCAGGCTCCCAGGGCGTGGCAGGCGTGGCATTTCCTCGACGCCACAGGGGGCTTGACAGCAGAGAGGGTACGTAGGTAGCGTAGCAGCCTTGACATTTTCTGGAGTCCATAACTTGGGCAGTATGCACCGGTGCCTCAGGCGTGTATGCGGCAGAAGTATTCTCAGCAAGGTTAACTTTAGAGGCGTGGCAGGCGTGGCATTTCCTCGGCGTCACAGGGGGTGCGCTGGGGGTTGGAACTTGTGTCTTGTCAAGATCTGTAAACACCTTGGCTCAAGCCGGCTTGGCGCGCCTGCGCTGTCACGCAGGCGCGCTCCTGTAGTCCTACTTCAGAGCACCGCCCGACCTGCTCGGCAGCCATGCCCCCCAAAATCGCCGTGGATGCGCTGCCACTTCCATGTTTGGCGATGAAAACTGCAATGATTCAGATGGGCGGCGAGGGTCTGCGAACACACGCGACTTAAACTAGGTACGTGGAGTTCCTCGGTAGCGTAATTTATATGTCCGGGCCACCCAGTAGGGTATCTAACATAAATATCCCGAACTGGAGCCAGTGTTTTTACGTGTCCAGGCCACCCAGGGGGGTATCTAACATGATTGTCCCGAGCTGGAACCATTGTTTTTGTGTGTCCAGACCACCCATTGGGATATCTAACATGGTTGTCCCGAGCCTGAACCACGTGAGTTTACGTGTCCAGGCCACCCAGGGGGGTATCTAACTTGGCTGTCCCGAGCAAGGACCACGTGTTTTAACGTGTCCAGGCCACCCAGTGGTGGATTCAATATGGTTGCCTAGAGCTGGCACCACGTGTTTTTTACGTGTCCAGGCCACCGAGCAAGTGCCGCGTGTTTTTACGTGCACAGGCCACCCGGGGGTGTATCTAACATGGTTGCCCAGCGCTGGTCCTTCGTGGTTCTTACGTGCCCAGGCCACCCAGAGGGGGTATCTAACGTGATTGTCCCGAACTGGAACCATGTTGTTTTACGTGTCCAGGCCGCCCAGGGGGACATCTAACATGGCGGAGCCAGGTGCTTTAACGTGGTCAGGTCACCTATGGGGGTATCTGACATGGGCCTCTCGGGGCCTTCCTGGGGGCCTGGAGTGGAACGTGAGAGTTTATATGTTTCCTGCATCGGTTCGTTGACTTTTTGGCCTTTGGGCGCTTCCGGGCGTATCTCTGCCTGCCTGCGCCCCAAACGAGCGCATGTCAGATACCCCTCCTGGGTGGGCTGGTACCACGTGTTTTCACGTGCCAGGGCACCCATCAGGATATCTAACATGGTGGTCCTGCGCTGGATCCAGATCAGTTCGGCCAGGAGCCGGGTGCCAAGGACGACTTGATCCACAACGCAATAGAGGACATCACGATTGAACGCATCATGACGCATTCCAAGTCAGCGCAGCGCGACGCAGCACAGCCCCTGGCACGGTACATCGTCATCGATACCTTCAGCATTGCAAGTGCCCGCCGCCAAGTTCGGTGTCGTGACAGCGGTCCTACGCTTCACATGTGGAGCGTTGCTTGGTCCAGCTTCGGAACTGACTCGGATCTTCAGCTCGAGCTGGTCGAGCGCCCCCGCGCGTTTCGATTGCGGCCAGGTTAGTGCGAGCCACGCGTTCAGGCAACGCGAGCTTAAGATCCAAATCAGTTCGCTCAGGATTCGGAGGCCACGGGCGAGTTTATCCACAACGCAATAGAGCACAGCACAGTTCAGCGCAGCATGACAAGGTCCAAGGCAGCATAGCACGGCGCAGCACAGCCCCTAGCACTGTACATCGCCATCGGTACCTTCAGCATTGCAAGTGCCCGTCGCCGAGTTCGGCGTCGGCGCAGCGTGGCATCGCAGTGCAACGTAGCGCGGTACGTCGCAGCACAGTGTAGCGGAACCTGTGTCACGGCATCATGATTACCGATGTCTTCATCATTGTATCGGAGGTTGGGGGGTGATATCGCAGTGAAACGGAGACCCCCTACCGGGAAATCGGTTTCGGTTTCATGTTCGTGTCGTGCGTGCGGGCGAGGCGAAGCTGCGTGTGATCCTCCTGTAGCTAGGCCGAAGCAGGAGCGAAAGTCCGTTCCCCGTCCGTTGGTGGCCGGGAGGTGTCCCAGTTGGGCCGGGCGGTGTCCCGGGTGTCCCCGGTGTCAGTAGGAGCGAAAGTCCGTTTCCCGTCCGCCTGTGGTCGGGAGGTGTCCCAGTTGGGCCGGGCGGTGTCCCGGGTGTCCCGGGTGTCCCCGGTGTCCCGGGCGTCCCGGCGCTAACGCATGTTGTTAAATTCATAATTCATGTGTTTCGGCGTCTGCGGCGCGCTTTCTTATCCAATCCAGCATATCTTATCCAATCAGTCTTATCCAATCCAATCCATCTCATCTTATCCAACCCATCTTGTCCCATCTTATCTTATCTCACCCAATCCAATCCACCCAACCCAATCCATCAATTCAATTGTTTCTGCGCCTGCGGCGGGCCAGTCCAATCCACTTTATCTTTTCCAATACATTTCTTCCAATCCAACCCATCTTATCTTACCCAATCCATCTTATCCCATCCGACTCAATCCACCCAACCCAATCCAACAATTCATTTGTCGGCGCTTGCGGCGGGCTTTCTTATCCAATCCAGCTTACCTTACCCAATCCATCTTGCCCAATCCAATCCATCGTGGTTGTCTTGTGATTGTCCTGATGGTTGTCTGGTGGTTGTGCCGATGGTTGTCCTGTGGTTGTCCGGCAACAAATCGTTTTTCGGCGCCTGCGGCGGGCTTTTTCATTTTGCTTTTGAGGTCGATAGTGAGATCGACAGTGAGATTCACCGATAGGTCGGTCGACGGATAGGTAGATAGTGGGGTCTCATCGTCATCGCGACCATCAGTGTGGTGGGGGGAGACTCTGATAGAGAGGGAGAGAGAGAGAGAGAGAGGGCGAGAGAGAGTGAGAGAGGCACAGACAGTGAGAGAGAGAGAGAGAGACAGAGAGAAAGAGAGATATGAGATCACGGTGACAGGCCGGAGGTCAGTCAGGGTGGGCATTTGATCTCAATCCCCCCCAACCTCCTTATCGCCCGCAGGGCGGTCGTATAGGTATACCTTTCCGGGTTCGTGGGTTCATCATGTTTACCACGGCAACCGGCTACGCGCAGCGGCGCGACGTGCTCCCCAGGCGAGCGGCGATTGCCGCGTGCCCCGCGTACACGACGGTAGAGAACCTTCTGCATCGTACTTACCATCAAGATCCACTCGCCTACTACTCTCGCCAGGTGTTTTGTTAGTGTTGGAACCCTTTGTGCAACTCTGCAACTCTGGAGCACGGCGACGCACCTCGCCATGTGAGTGTCCGTTATAGACCCCAGAAGGAAGGTCTACCCTAGGCCTACCCCTAGCGCCTACCCCCAGGGCCTACTCCTAGGGCTACCGTAGGCCTACTCCTAGGGCCGATCCCTAGGGCCAACCTAGGCCTACTCCTAGGGCCTACCCCTAGGGCTACCCCAGGCCTACCCCCTCGGACCTACCCCCTCGGCACTACCCTAGGACTACCCCTAGGGTTTACCCCTGGGGTCGACCCTAGGCCTACCCCTAGGGCCCACCTCTAGGGCTACCCTAGGCCTACCCCTAGGGCCTATCCGCGCAGAGCCGCCTTGGCGAGAGAAGTACAAGGAAGGAGGAGGAAGTGGAGAGGAGGAGGAGGGGGAGAAGGAGGAGGAGGAGCAGCAGGAGGAGGAGGAGGAGCAGGAGGAGGAGGAGGAGGAGCAGGAGGAGGAGGAGAAGGAGGAGGAGGGAGAGCGAGAGGAGGAGAAGGAGGAGGAGAAGGAGGAGGAGAAGGAGGAGGAGAAGGTGGAGGAGGAGGCAGCCCCGCCGTCCCCGCCCTGGCGCAAGACATCGCCGCCGTCGACCGTCGACCGGCTCGGCTTCGCGTCGTCGTCGTCGTCGTCGTCGTCGTCGTCGTCGTCGCCGTTGTAGTCGTCGTTGTTGTGGGTCGGTCGATCGGTCAGACAGCCGCTCGGTCGGCGGGTCGGTCGGTCGGTCGGTCGGTCGGTCGGTCGGTCGGTCGGACGATCGGACGGTCGGTCGTCGTCGTCGTCGTCGTCGTCGTCGTCGTCGTCGTCGTCGTCCTTGTCGTCGTCCTCGTCGCCGAGGGGGAGGAGTAGGCGAAAGAGCATGGGAGGACTCACCACTATATACCTTACTGTCCCGCCCTTCCTACCCAGGTCGCCCGCCACGGGCGCCGGCGTGCCAGGCAAAGGGGGATGCACCACAACATACCTTAATGTCCCGCCCGCCCGACCCGACCCGTCTCGCCACGGAAGCGCTACCCGCCCGTCACGGGGATTCCCGTGCCAGGCACGTGATGATGCACCACGACAAATTTTGATGTCCAGCCCGCCCGGCCCTGCCCGCCCGCCACGGGCGCTCGCGTGCCAGGCGAATGCTGACGCGACACAGCATTCGTTAATGTCCCGCTCGCCAGGCCCGGTCCGCCTGCCGGGGGCCCGCACGGGACTCCGTCCATGTGCGATCGAGGAGGACGGAACGAGGAAGAAGAGGGGGAGGAATAGGCGAAAGAAAAGGAGGAGGAAGCAGGAGGATGGGGGGGAAGGGGGAGGAGGATGAGGGAGAGGAGGAGAAGGAGGAGGAGGAAGAAGAGGAGGAGGAGGACGAACGTCGGGTTGGAGGAGGGGGAGGGGGAGAAGGGGGAGGGGGAGGAGGGCAAGCTAGGTGCGCTCGCGTCACATCTGACGTCCTACCCCTCCCTCCCGTCCCTTACCATGGCGTAGATATCTTCTCTGTTCTCACAGTCGGATGTCGAGCAGGGCAGTGATCGCGAGAGAGTACGCGATGCATGGTAGAGCACGGCATGGCATGGCGTACACGAGCACGGCAGAGCGTAGCATGCCATAGCATGGCGTAGCATTGCGTAGTGAAGCATTGCATCACAAAGCATTGCAACGCAACGCATGGCATCGCACAGCGGCGCAGAACACAAAACCGCAGAGCACGTCATGGCATGGCGCCGGGTTCCTTGGAGGGTGAGTGGATCGTTTTCGAAAGGTCTGGGCCGCCCTGGAGTCGTGGCTCCATTGTCTGGCTTTTTGGGCTCCCCGGAAAGCTCCACACAAGGCGGGGCTGATGGAGAGCACCCGCTGGCTCTGCTTTCAACATCGCCTTCTCAAAGCAGAAGCGGAGCTCCCCCTTGATACTTCCTGAAATCGACGACGTCCCAAAGTGGGGAGGCTTTGCGGCACAAGAACTCAACGAATCGGCACCGAATGTGTAATCACTTCCGATGGCTTTTTCGGGGGGCCATTTCCTAGATGTTTGGGCCGATTTGGAAGGACCAAAAACACCCGCGCTGCAGCGGGAGCACGATTTGGAACAACCAGAAGCGCAGAAATGGGGACAGAGCTTCAGCGGGAGCAGCATTTAGAACAAATAGCAAGCGAGAGCACAATTCGCGGGCATCCAGTGTAAAAAACAATTCGCGGAGGTGGCCGGACATCTTCCGGACGTCATCAGGGGAGATGAGAGAAGTATTCATATTGTGCAATTGTGGAGGGGGTGGCGGTGGAGTTTTGGGTTGAAGGAGGGGACGGAGGAGGATGCCCCCGGGCTACGGGCTACCCTTAACCCCTGGGGCCTGCCCCTGGAGGTACCCTAGGGCTACCCCTAGGGCCCATCCCTAGGGCTTCCCTGGGGCTACCCCTGGGGCTTACCCTTAGGGCCGCCCTAGGGCTACCCCTAGGGCCTACCCCTAGGGCCACCCTAGGGCTTCCCTAGAGCCTTCAGTAGGCCCTACTCTGGGCAAGCCTAGGGCCTTCAGTAGGCCCTACCCTGGGCAATCCTAGGGCCTTCAGTAAGCCCCAGGGCAGCCCAGGGCCCCTTGGGTCTATATCCCCTCCCCTCCCTCCCTCCTCCCTCGCGGCCGCTTTCGCCTGCCTCCCCATCCTCCTGCCGCGGGTTCATTTGCGCTTTCCGTTGCCCGGACCGCCTGGGCGCGCGTGCGGACTGCCTTTGCCGCGCTGCGACGTAAGACAAGTGTGCAACACTGGATCTGCAGGGGGCCCCCGGTGGAAGCATGGGTGGGTCCAGTGCACCAGGGAAGCTGACAACACGCAGGCCGACAGGCGTGCAGGTGCGGGGACCGGTGCGCAGAAGCGCAGACACAGACGCATATCCACACTGCGACGGCGCTTCCGCGATGCATCTCGTCCGCAGCCGACGTCGGGCCACTGCACGATACGACTGCCGCGGATTTACAATCGCACTGCAGCCAACCAGGAGGGAAGTCTACCGAAATACGCACATATTTGAAGACAATACGCCAAGGTTGGAAGTTCACGGCCGGGGCAAAGGTGGCGAGTGCCACACAACGTCTCGGCGGCGTGGCCGTGGGCCAGGCGAGGCAAGACGGACTTCCGATACGACGGACAGGGGGAGAGGCAAACGAACGACGGATGGAGGAACCACGAGCAGCGGAAAAATAAGGAGATGACATAAGCAATTGAGACGAGGTGCCGAGGAGAAAGGGGATAGCGTGGACGACAAGTGGGGGCAAGATGGGGGAAGTGATTCGGCGCAGGACGCAGGGGGGAGGCGACCGAATGGAATAAAACAGTGGGGACAAGAAGCGCGCCAGCATGTGATGGCGATTTTGATGGTGGTGGTGATGATGGTGATGATGCTGATGAAGATTGCGATGGTGGTGATGGTAGTGATGATGATGCTGATGATGATGCTGATGATGATGATGATGATGATGATGATGATGATGATGATGGTGATGATGATGATGATGATGGTGATGATGATGAGATGGTGCAACTGTTGATCACAATGATGGCGAGCATGCTGCGTACTGTGATGATGCGCATGGATCGAAGGAGGATGATGATGATGATGAGGAGGAGGAGGAGGAGGAGGAGGAGGCGGATGAAGAGGAGGAGGCGGTGGAGGAGGAGGAGGAGGAAGAGGAGAACGAAGACGAGGACGAGGACGAGGAGGATGGGGAGTAGGAAAAGAAGGAGGAGGGGGAGGAGGAGGAGGAGGAGGAGGAGGAGGAGGAGGAGGAGGAGGAGGAGGAGGAGGGATTAGGCCTCCGTCCCTCCTCGGCTACTGCATGCACGCGCCGTTTCAATCCCCTTCTGGAATTGTACCCACTGGCTTCACGCGGTTCGGCCCGGCGGGCGTGGCCGCGGTCGCGGCGGCGTTCTGCGGCGGGAGTTTGGAGGAGAGGGGGCCTCGCGGGTGCGCGTTCCAAGGCCTCTCAGCATCGTGAAGAAGTCCAAGCGGATGTTGTTTTTTTCCCGCAGTTTGGGGCCCCTAAACAACCGCACAAGATACAAGAGCTGGACCCGGGGAAACGGTCGGAGCTTCCAGGGGCCCCAAACAAGACTTCAGCTGGTCGGCTTCGCTGTTGTCGCGCTCCCGGGCCATCCGGGGGACCCTGGGGCCGTCAATGACGGCTCGGGCTGAAAAGTTTGCGTTTTGGTGAAAGCCTAGAGGTCCAAGGCACGTTTCTTTTGTGCAGTTAGAGGATGGCGAGGGTGCGGAGGAGCAGGAGGAGGAAGAGGAAGAGGAGGAGGAGGAGGAGGAGGAGGGGGAGGGAGGAGGAGGAGGAGGAGGAGGAGGAAGATGAGCAGTTTGTCCTCCTCGCTTCGCCAGAGGACCCCTAAAAGAGATCAAGACGCGGAAGCTCTTTCAGCTGATAGCCGTGAAGCACAAAGGAAGTTATGCCATCACGCCGAAGGCGTGGAGCCGCGCTTGCGTCTGCTCCTGTTCTTGCCCCTGCGCCTGCTCCTGCTTCTGGGTTGCACCCTGGTGAGCAGCATCGTGTGCGGGAGCGGGTTTCTGGGCCACCCCACCGTTCCCCGCCCGATGCGCACGATCCTCGAGCTGGCACGCAGGGGGTGCACCATCTTGGGACGCACCATCGTCTGACCCTGAGGCGCACCATCTTCGAGACGGCGCGCGCGAAATGCACCTGGGACAGTCTCGGGGTTCACCATTGTCTGGGCCCGAGACGCACCATCAGACGTGCCTGTAGGCCAGACCGGGCATTTCGCTTGAGATTTCCTTACAGTACTGTTTCCCGGACCACATGTGCAACAGTTGCAAGGATGGAAGGCGGGTCGTTCTGACAAAGGGGCCTTCGCCTTAGCGCCGTGTGCAGTTGTCTTACTTATTTGCAACAGTTACACGGATGGGTAGGGGTGCTCGTTTAAAAAAAGGAGGTCCCGCCATAGCGCCGCGCGCATTCGTTTCCAAAACTTGCAGCAGGTACGAGCATGGATACTCTCTCCTCTTCAAACTGAAACTCTCGCTTACAGCTTCCTCGAAATTCGAGACTGGATGCTTGAGCATAGGTGGCAGCTGCACTGGCGCAGCGTGGCTCCCTTCCAACGTGGAGCTCTCACTTGAGACTTCCCTGGCTGTGATGTCAAGAAAGGTCAATGTGTGAAGCAACCACATGGCTGGGGGGGGGGGGGGGCCTTTTCAGAGCACGGTTCTCGCTGATCGCTGATTGAAGACATGTGCTACAAGGGCGATTGACAACATAGCTCTGCAACCAGGTTGCGCCCATCATAGCTTGCCAGGGGGATCGACTGAAGGATGGGTGACGATTCGGATTGAATCCGGGGCCAGGTGGGCGGGCAGGAGGGCGCCGAGGGCTGACGACTCAGAGCGGCCGCGGCTTGCGGTTCCAAGCGGTTGACGGCTTGGAATTCGACGCGCTCGCGGGCCCGGCGATTGTGCGCCCCAGGCTTGGCGACTCGTCGAAGCGGTAGGGCAGGACGACGACGACCTGCAGCGCTCGGGCTTGGACGCGCGCCGCGGCTCGCCTCCGAACGCTCCTGGGCCGGCTCCCCGCCACACCACAGCCCCTGCCGCCCTGCCGCTTGCCCTGCTGCCTTCCCTGCCTTCCTGCCAGGGAGCTCCCCGACGAGAGCCCCCCCCGCGGAGAGCGATCGCGTCATGTCTGACGTCCTCCCCTTCCCTCCCGTCCCTGTGCCACTGCGGAGACCCAGTCTCCATTCGCAGGGTCGGAAGTCGAAGTCGACAGCGATGCCCAAAGGGCACGCGATGCACAACATGGCGTAGCTGAAGATGTCGGACAGCAGTCACATAGGCATGTTTCAGGGAAGCAGTCGACCCCTCCGAAAGTTTCGAAAGAGATGTCTGAGCATTTTTGATTGATATAGCCGCTGCAAAAATACTGTGCAGAGTGCTCATTGGTGCGAACATGTTTCAGTCCCCTAGCCGCGGCGTGCGGTTTTCTGTCAAACAGATTCTTCCTTCCCCGCATCATCCTTCCTTCGCTTCATGATCATCGCCCCCCTTCGCCCCCTGCTTCCCTTCATCATCCATCCTCCTTCCCCTCGTCGTCCTTCCATCGCCTCTTAGTGCTGGGACCACCTTTCTAGCTCGTCGCCTTGGGTCCACCCTGGGCTGTCTTGAAGGCATCTTGGGGCAATAACGGTTTTCCTGGGGGCATTCAGGACGTCTTGGAAGCGCCCTGGGGCCGTATCCAAGACGTCGAAACGAATTCGCGATTTGCGCGCCGCGCGGCCGCGTGCGAACCTCTCTCTTGGCTTCAGACGCCCCACGCAGCGCACGCCATGTAATATATCCCCAAGTGCATCGGCAGTGCCGCGGCCACTCGCGGCGCGATGGTAAAACGGCATCCGGCATGCGTGAGGCTGCGGGGCGCGTGCCCGCGGGCGCGCGCGGGCTGGCGCTTGGCGCGGGGTGGCGTTCGGCGCGGTTCTTGGACCGGCGTCCGGAGGGGGCGGGGTGAGCCCGTCGGGTCGAATGCCCCGGTCGCGCGCGCGCTCCACCGCTGGAGCAGGGATTGAGCGTGATGGGGAGCGAGGAGGAGGAGGAGGAGGAGGAGGAGGAGGAGGAGGAGGAGGAGGAGGAGGAGCGAGGAGGGGGGAGCGAGGGAGAGAGGCAGGACGGAGGATGGGGGGGAGCGAGGGGGGAGGATGGACGGAAGGCGGGAGCGAGGGGGGAGGATGGACGGAGGATGGGGGGGAGAGAGAGGCATGGAGGCCTCTTCGCCGTCGCCGTCGCGCGCGGTGGAGCGGGTGAGGCGTGGCGCAATTTCTTCGAGTACGAGGCCGGCAGCGAATCCAAGGCCGCCGATCCGCGAGCGGCGCTGAAGTTCATGTTGCCTCTGGCCGGATTCCTAGTCAGGGAGTTCTTCAGGCAATGTTCGGCCCCTGGGGGCCCGCAGCGGGCGCCCGGGGCCGTAAAAACGGGTCGGGATGAAACGCCGGCAAGGTTCCACGTTGAAGCAGAATCGGAACGTCAGCGGCGTGGGCGACCTCCCCCTCAGATCGATGATCATGCTTCTAAGCGGTGTTGGCCATTTGGGGGCCTCCTGGGGCGCATTTGACTTTGGCCCCCAGAGGCCTGTGACGGACCCCGGGGCGGTCAGGACGCAATGCTGGATGAGGAACCAGCCCCGAGAGGGTCGAGAGCCGTGGGGCCCACGCGACAGGAAACGCGCGACGCCGCAGCGATCGGTTGATCCCCTCCCCTCCTCTCCCCCCCCCCATGTCTGTTCCTCCCTCGGAGGGGGGCATGGGGTCGTGGGCCGCAGGGGTCTCTGACCGGAGGATGCCAGGGGCGATCCTGGTCCAAGGTGCCTCCATCCGTCTGCCACAAGCTGGGGCCTGGAGTGCGCCGGAGGCCAGCAGGGGGGAAGCAGGGCTCACGCCGGGCCGCGCCCACGTCGGGCAACACCCGATCTACGACGCCAAAGGGAGTCCCCGGAAGGGGCAGCTGGGCAGAGCAGGCGGGGCGTACCGCCCTCGCCTCGCCCCCCTCCGCCCCAGGACCCCCCCCAGGTCCCCCAAATCCTGGAACCGCCATGGAGCCTCTTGACGACCCCCCCTCGTCCCTTTTCCGCCCATGCTTCTCCCACTCGAGCCCGTAATTACCCACCCCCAGGCTTCCCCCTGCAACTCTACAGACCACCTGAGAGATCCTCAGGGCCCCCCGGAAGCTCCCCTCCCCTTCCCTTCCGTCCCCATCCTGCAGAGCAGTTCGACGCGCTGTTTTCATGCTGCCACGCTACGAAGGCCGAGGGGCTGGAGGGGCAGTGCGGCAGTGCACTTTTCCCCTCCATCGGGCGAGGAACGGCGACGCAAATGAATTCGGCCGACTGCGCGGACAGTCGTGCGCAATTTGCCCGCGTGCGGTCGCGCGCAAGCGCCATCCTTCCGACGTGGCGTGCCGCGCTGTCGGCCCGTCCGGGGCAGACATCGAGAGCGGTTTCGCGGCGTCCGCGCGCGCCCGCGCTGGCGCCCGATGCTCCCGCGCTCCCAAAGGGGGTGGAGAGAAGCAGCCATCAACTCCACCCTGAAATCCTCGAGTCCTTCTGATATGGGGGAGGAAGCGGCAAGGCCGCGGGAGTCGGCCGACAGCCGCAGGAACCAGCATCGTGCGCCAGGACCTCGTTTCTCAAACCTGCATTCTCGTCGTAATGATTTTTCTTCTGGCCCTCCCCTCGCCTCGCCTTCCTCCTCCTCCTCCTCCGCCTTCTCCTCCTCCGTCTGTCAGAAGCCAGACTTTGGCTGATCTAGAATGGGTCAAACTGATCCAGTGAGACATATTTTTGGCTCTGGTGGCCGGCATTCGCGTCACGACGGTGGCTGTTGAAGAATGCTGTCCGCTTCCCTCTTCTCCCTCCCGAAGAGCAGCAGTTTCGCAGAAGGTATCTCCCAGCCTGGGCGATCCTGGGCTCCAGGATAGCGTCCAGACCCTCCCGGCCTCGGCCAGGAGGGCGTGTGCACCAGGCAGGGGCGCGGGGCAGCCCTGGCAAGGCATGGTGGTGGTGGTGGCGGGCAGGCGCCTTCTGCGCACCGCCACCTTCGTCGCTCAAGCGCAGGGGGCCCGCGCCCCCGCTTCCTGCCCCCGCCCCCTCCGCCACCGCTCGCCACGCTCGCAGCGCAGGCTGGCGCGGACGGGGAGCTGAAGGCCGCCAAGGCGATGAAGAAGGTGAGGAGCATGAGGGCCAAGGCGGAAAGCGCGAGGCGCGAGGGGGGGGGATGGAAAGGGGGCCTCGTTTTTGGCATCCACGGCCGAAGACCCCAATCAGGTGGGGCAAAGAGGCGTCAGGTCGACCGAGACCCCCTACGTCTTCGGATGGAGTCTAGTGGAGGGGGGGGAGGGCAGGAGGAGTTCGATGAGGTGAACGAGCATAATCAGAACAAGGAGCTCCTTAGGATAGGAGCAGTATCATGCCTTCTCTTCCTCCGACTCACCACGAGTGCACGATGGATAGTCGCAGAAGCGGGAGCAGGAGCAGGACGAACAGAAGACGGAGGAGGAGATTCGGAGCCCCAGGCGTTCGCACCTCACGTGCTCCGAGGAAGCTCAGAACGCCGATGGGGCCAACCTGCAGTAATCGAGCCCGCGCCGAACGGTCCTTGGCCGTTCAGCCGGCGGAGGAAGCAGTTCGCACCTCCTGTGCCTCTTGGCATCCACCGAACGGGTCCCAGTGCGAGTCGAGCGTCAGGCCAAGGCTCCGTCCTGGGCCTGGCGTCTTACCGAGCTCTGCAGCTCCAATGGTTGTCGAGGAAGGAAGGAATGATTTGTGATGATGATGAGGAGGATGAGGATGAGGACTAGGATGATGATGAGGATGATGATGCTGATGATGTTGGTGCTGATGATCATGACGGTGGTGGTGGCGTTGATGATGATGACGATGAAGATGAAGATGAAGATGACGATGATGATCCTGCTGCTTATGATGATGATGATGATGATGATGATGATGATGATGATGATGATGATGATGATGATGATGATACTGACGATGATGATGATGATGGCGGTGAGGATGATTATCATGATGATGGCGATGATGGTGATGATGATGGTGATGATAATGATGACGATGACGAACATGAGGATGCTGATGCTGATGATGATGCTGATGGTAGTGATGATGATGATGATGATGGGCGATGCTGATGCTGTTGCTGCTGATGATGATGATGATGATGGCGATGATAGTGATGATGCTGGTGACGATGATGGTGATGCTGGTGATGATGATGATTCCGATGCGCTGATGATGGTGATGGTGATGATGATGATCATGATGATGATGATAATGATGATGATGATGATGATGATGATGATGATGATTATTATGAGGATGATGCTGATGATGACGATCATGATCATGATGATGACGATGCTGATGATGATTTCGACGTGCTGATGATATTGATGCTGCTGACGATGATGCTGCCGACGCTGCAGTTGATTGTGTTGGTGGCGGTGGTGATGGTCACGATGATGATGCTGCTCATGATGATGCGAATGCTGATGTTGATAGTGATGATGCTGATGATGATTACGATGCGCTGATGATGATGGCGACGACGCTGATGATGCTGATGATGCTGATGCTGTTGAAGATGATGATGATGCTGATGATGGTGATGATGATGCTGTGGATGACGACGATGATGATCACGATGTGTTGTTGATGGTCATGATGATGGTGCTGACGATGATGCTGACGACGCTGCGGTTGATGTCGATGGTGATGCTGATGATACTAATGCCGATGATGATGAGGCTGCTGCTGCTGCTGATGCTGCTGCTGACGATGCTGATGATGATGAATCTGATGATGCTGATGGCGACGATGACGATGATGCGAACGATGATGATGATGATGATGATGATGATGATGATGATGATGATGATGATGGTGATGATGGTGATGATGATGATGATGATGATGATGATGATGATGATGATGATGATGATGATGCGAATGATGTTGATGATGATGACGGTGATGATGGTGATGTGGATGCTGATTATAAAGATGATCATGGTGATGATGATGACGATGATGATGATGACGACGATGATGATGATGATGATGATGACGAGGAGGAGGAGGAGGAGGCGGAGGAGGACGGGGGGGGGCGGAGGAAGAGAGATGGGAGAAGGATCGGTCGCGCCGAGCGTCGAGCTCACAGGATGGCACAGTGATTCGACGCGGGAGCCAGGAGGGACGGAGGAGCGTCGCACTTCCCGGCGCGTCCTTAAGGCGGCCTCTACAGGATAGGCCGATGGGGGAGGAGAAAGAGGAGGATGACAATGAGGGCGAAGGAGGAGGCGGAGCAGCAGGAAGACATGGAGGAGGATGGAGGCGGAGGAGGACGAGGATGGTGAATGCTTTTGTTCCCAACCATCCTGTGGTGTTGGGCCTTTGTTTTGAAGAGACAGCGGCTCGCGTCTCCTCCTCTCCTTCCTCCTCCCCCCTCCTTCCCCTCCTCGCCGATGCACTCCGCATGTCTTGGTTTCGGCACGCCCCCCCCACACGCTTCGTGGCCCCGTAGGGCGCCCCACCGAAGGCCCCAGCGGCTGCGCCCGCATGACACCACTGCACCCATGTCGGCACACTCCTCACACGTTTCGTGGCCCCATAGGGAGCTCCACCGAAGGCCCCAGTGGCTGCTCTCGCATGACACCAGCGCACCGATTTCGGCACACCCCTCAAAAGTTTCGTGACCCCATCGTGAGCTCTACCGAAGGCCCCAGTGGCTGCGCTTGCATGACACCACCGCACCGATTTCGGCACACCTCTCACACTCTTCATTGCCCCATAGGGAGTTCCACCGAAGGCCCCAGTGGCTGCGCTCGCATGACACCACCGCACCCATGTCTGCACATCCCTCACACGTTTCGTGGCCCCATTCGGAGCTCCACCGAAGGCCCCAGTGGCTGCGCCCGCATGACACCACCGCACCCATGTCGGCACACCCCTCACACGCTTCGTGGCCCCACAAGGAATTCCACCGAAGACGATACCAACAATTGCGTTACTCACACCTGCAAATGGTTGGGATCTTCGCCAGGATAATTCAATTGCAGTGACGCTTCCGCGAAAGCATGCCTGCCCATCGCGAAGGAGGAGCAGACGCGCGGCCAACTGCACTTCAAGTCAATTGACATAGGGAGCGGGTCGCTCTTCTTGGGCCTGGGTCAACATTCCAGTTCCGAGGTCCCTGACAAGTGAACGGGTAAGTGGTTGGAGGGGCATGGTATCAGGAGGGAGGGAGAGGCTTGTCAGTTACCCCGAAAACCATGCTAAGTGCTCCATGTCTCCGCATAAGCCGAACAGGGGAAGCCTTCCTGTCGCAGCAGCGTCTGTGAAGGTTGCCCCCCATTTTGGGAGGCGCGGGAGGAGAGCAGAGGAATGCGTGGGGGAGACAGGATGGCTGGATGGCCCTTCGAGTGGGACTACTTCGTCGGCAGCGGCCTTTGTGGGTCCTGACGCGGGGCGAGCATGCCTCAGGGGAAGATGTGCTCGCTAGGGGGGGGGGGGAGACACCCCACTCGTAGTTGCCTAGTAGCCCGGCCGCGCAACTGGAGGCCCAAGATGAAGACAGGTTCCACAGATGAGGACCAATCTCTCAGAGGGGACAGGGGTGGAACGATGTGCCAACGCAGAGTTCCTCAACAGTGAGTAAAGGCTGGGAGGGACTCGTGCAGAATGACATCAGAATTCGCGAACGTGTTTACAGTGCGATGTGTGGCTGAGGCATGCCGTGTCAGACAGTCCATGGTCCCCGCGGTCGGGAGGATGGATCTGGACCGTGTACACGTGAGGTGTTCGGGCATCTCTCGCCAACAGAAGAGGGATCCAGACCACTTACGCGTGAGGCTGGTCTTGAAACTCCTGGCACCTCCTGAGGTTTTTGCTCTGTCAACTATGCACGTCCAGCACCTCAGGGCGGAGAGGGGTAACTACCACATGTTTGGGGGCCCGAGTGTGCCCTCTGTCGCACAAGTGCACGTTCGTGCGCCAGCTTGTGATCAGCCCGGAACGGTTCTACCTTTATAAGGGGAAGGGGTGCCAGAACAGGAACAGAGCATGATATGCTGAACGCGAAAGACACGAAGAGCCCCATGACTACAGAGCAGATAGGAGACACGCAACACCGCAGTCTGTTTGCCACTGAACGCGCAGGATGGTCAACGCTATACCGCATCGAGGAGGGAAGCATCGTCGACATAACAACTCATTAAATAAATGAATGCGCACCTGATGCTACCCCAGAGGGGCTTGGCTCTCCCGTCGGCTGGAAATTACAGGGGAAGTTCAACTGATGCAAGCACGATGCTGAAGTGCTTGTACTAACGATGCGGGCATCAAAGGCGGAGGGCAAACACTAATACATGGCGAGAGGTGGTTGACTGAACATCCCGCATGGGAACATGGGAGGGATAGGGGAGAAGGGAGGAGAGCAGAGGATGTGGAACGCCGTCGTCGTCGCCGTCGTCGAACGATGGGAATGGCAGTCCGCCGTCCTCAACTCAACTGGCACGCTGATACCTGCTAGATACACAAAGCAGCAGCAGACAGATAAGAGAAGCAAAGTCGCAAGATCACGAAATCAAAGAAGAAGCGCCTCCCTCCAGGCCAACTGAACAGGATCTGCAAAGGGGCCTGACGGGAGAGACACAACTGGTCCGTCAAACAGACCTGAGACGGACACCGGCACGGTGTGGGCCGCCGCTTCGGCAGCGCGGCGGGCCGCGCGACGGCGCATGGCCTCCTCTCGGTGGGCGGCAATCCGCGCGAACTGGGCGTCGGTGAGGGGGAGAGGCGACGGAGGGGGAGGGGGAGGGGGGGAAGACGACGGAGGGAAAGGAGAGGATCCGAACGCCCAGGCGGCAGCGTCCTCCTCGGC